GTATTATGTACTGTCAGTTGCAAGTGCATTGTAAGTGTCTTCTATGTACTTTGCAGTTGTTGTTTTTTCAGTGTCAAATATTTGCTTTCGACAATAAATTTGAAAAAGAAAATAAATCAACTCATATTGCGCACACCTCCGCTTTATTTTATATTGCACTGACTTGTATTCTTAATTAAAAACAAGATCATCGAATATTAGTCTACTTTATCGGAAATGGGGAAACTATGAAGATATTAAAATATCCGGAGGAGCTACACAGCAAGAAATCCCAATTCTGTGCTGGTCTAAACTAAGTGTTTTTATTTCCGTTAGTATATGTTTACATGTGATTCATTATTATGCAGGCCTATAACATTGTAACATATACTTTGCCAGTCCAGAGGACCTGCGATATTAAAATTATTGCAGGTCCTCTGGCATTTCAAGTGGTCATGGCCTGTCGGATAGGCAATTTCCCCATGTCTGCTTCATCACTAGGCGTTACTCTGAATCAAGTTTTTAAAAATATTTTTTATTGTGTTAGATGTCTCTCTTCTCCGAAGCATTGCGTGAGCTTAAGTTGAGAATGGCTTCCATCTGTCGCAATTTAGGACAAATCTATGTAAATTGCTTTTATAAATTTTCCCGATGTACTTCTGCCAAAAAAAGTTTGATTTTTTATGATTCTTTTCTCTAAAACAATTTACATAGGCCCAACAGCTTGACATTTAAACTTTCGGATTATTCTTGATGAACGAATAGATTTCACGTCCATACTGGTCAATGTAGGACACTTTCACGGCACTCTCCGTCATTTCGAGCCCTACAAATCCGTTGAATCGACTAAACATCGTGCTTTCAACGTTCCACTTCTTCACATCGCTGAGGGCAGTAGGGTTTTGGTTGCGAGTTTTCGATCCCGACCCAGAGATGACGTAATCGACGATCTTGCTCGCTGACTTTTTGTGAAGATGCTCCAAATCGTGGTCATGGCCGCAAATATACAGGGCAACCTTGTATTGTTCCAACAGGGGGCGCACGTTGTCGTACATCCATTGAGTTGAGCTCCTCTTGCCGTGGTCGCCGGATGAAAAGACGGGATGGTGACCCACTACGATTATCCAATCCCCGAGGGATGCCGCCAGTTGGGCTCTAAACCAAGCCATTTGGGTTCGGTCTCCGTCACCGCGGAGAGGATCGGTGTCGATCATGATAAAATGGACCTTCTTCGTCCCCACGTTTTTGTAAAAGGAGTAATACAGGCGCGGCATGAACCATCTTGGTTCTTTCGCAGCAAACATAGTTTGGTATTTGGCGCGCCCGAACAGATGGTCGTGGTTTCCAGCGATGACGTACCACGTCTTCTGGAGGGCCGAATGGGTGTAGATTTTACGCCACGTGTTTTCAAACTGTGGATCGTCTACTCCGGAAACGCCTATCTCGTAGAAGTTGTCCCCCAGGGCCAGCGTGAATTGGGAGCTGTGGTCCTGGGCCCATTTGCCCAACGTAGCGGCCACGAACTCCTGACTGGACCCCGGCTTGCCCCAGTCACCCAGCGCGACGTAAGATAATTGGGCGCCTGGAAAGAGGTGATACCATCTATCAGTTTACTTTGTTTTATCCACTCTCACTTAGAGAAGGTCCCTCTACATTCATCGAAGGAGATCCTTCACACACTAATTAGTGCATAAAAATTTACCAAATATTTATTTTCATTATCATTGACCGAGCTTTTGAGGGTACATGTAGGTTGTGCGAGCAGAAATGAATCTAACTGCTTCTTTTGCAAACTGCAACCAATTTTACATCAATCTTGTTCAGTAAAGCGGAGGAAAACACTTAAGCAACGTTTAGACACAGTCTTGTTCTGTAGCAGAAACGGCAAATCAATCATAAAAAGGTTGAAAAGGTCGCATCCAGCAGTGATTTTTACCAAACATTTTTTGGCGGTAAGTCCGAGTAGAAGACAGTTTGCTTCCACCCACGCGCTAGATAAAAGGCCCCAGTTAAAGCGGTGGGCAAAATGCCAAGTTGGGCGAATTAAATAATGGATAAAATACATTCTACACTGTCCCTAATGTGGCCAAGACTTACGACAGTTAGTTTTTGAACGGATTTTTAACGGTGCTGGATGCGTCCCTGAATTCTCAGTAAACATACGTACCCGTGAATGGAGCTGAGGTACCTGAAAAATAAAACATCAAGAACATCAGCAGGTAAATTAAATGATTTAGATGGGGTTGTACTTTGCTTTTGTTTTTGGTTCACATATTTATCTTACATCTAGAATAAAGAAAACTAAGTCATTTCGTTTGAAATCATGTTCATCTTTCATCTAATGATTTATTCACGACAAAATTTAAAATGTGTTGCAAACAGATATATTTCATTAAATAGTATTTTAATCTACGCGAATGACATAGAAGGACGTTAACACCTGGTTAATTATCCCAAGACACGCTTAACAAATAGCGCATGCACACAGGGTAAAAAAAAGCAATAAAAAAGCAGAGTAGGCAGCATTTAGCACTCGGGTTCTGCCCCAAAGCTTTAACAGTCGTCGGTTTCACAAATAAACTTGTAAAACTTTTTGAAAAAATACGTGATACCATTTGAAACTATATTGAATCAGTGTAAATCGATAGTAGTATTGATCTACTTAAAAGAAAAATATTGCACCTGACTGATCGACTAATATGGGTTTATCCTGGAGTGAAAGAGAACAATTTAAGCAAAGTTCTTAAAGTGAAGACCAACTTTTGGCCATAGATTATTTTGTGAAACCGATTTCTATTGGTTAGAAGCACTTTTGGGCACACATTATTTTGTGAACCCGATTTTCATTGGTTAGAGCACTTTTGGTCATGGATTATTTTGTGAAACCGATTTCTATTGGTTAGAGGACTTTACCCCAAACTTCCTGGGTTCTAATTATGCCCCTCCTCTTGCCACTACACGTAACGACCCCTCATGCCCGTCCAATAATCCCAAAAGGTCAGTGCGCTCACTGCAACGATTGCAAGAAGTCATTACTACTGGTATCATGAAGGCGCGGTAAAAACGTTTTGGCGATACCTCATATAGACTCTGAGCGCACGCTCGAAGTACCTGGAGTTGCCATACCTGAAAATCTTACATAATTATAGCGGTGTTCACAGACCTATGGTATACCGGGTAGACCTTGGCTAGCATGTAGTAATATGCCACTGGTGCGATAGCAGCCCCGATAATAAAAAAAAGACACGATTGTAACTACCGAAGCCACCGTTTCCTAAACCGATGCCCAATAAAACTCACTAGTGCTAGTTGCATCGACTTTGTATTTGTAAACCACATTTCTCCAATCTCCTCCGCAAACTTCTGAACGCTCCCCTGGGCATTCCACAAAACATTCCGAGTCAGAAGTTTTGCCATATGTCCCATAAGAATTGCCACAACGACAAGCGAATCTAGCAAACAGAATGTCGAACTGATAATAATAAGAACTTCCGTTTTAATGTTGAACATAGTTTTGTTTTAACGGAACGGTCTCTATTCCTTGATAAAACACTCTACCATGGAGTTTCAATAAGTCTATTGTATTTTTTTAATATCACTAAAAATATCTGCAAATCGCAAAAAAAAAAAAAATTAAATAACTATAAGAATATTGTTTTTATGTTAATCACCTTTTTTAATAGACCATTTTTCTTCGAAAGAAAACTCATTTTGTAATCCAATGGGTTTAAAACCACTCAGGTATATCATAAGTCACGTGGCAATCAATTATACAGGAAAAATGCAACTAAAACAAAAACCGTGCCTTTAAGGGAAGTTACACTCACCCACTCTGGATGCCAAAATACTGATAACCCTTACAATGGTCATAACACATTTGTAGGTCCATATTTCTGCTGTCCTCCAGTTTATCACTACTAGGAATGTCTCTTGGATACTTATCCTTATAACAGCCCTTGTATTCTACGCGGGAAATTGGTTCAAATATAAGATTATAACTATTGTTTGAATTTGTTTGATTATGTATTATAAAACGTGTTATAAGATAAGGAATTTCATATAGAAACATCTTTTATTTTCAAAATAGGCGAAGCTGTCTGATTAAGATTTATGACTGAAAGTCAAGTGAATCAAAATAATAGGAATTCGTGGACTATAAATAATGACTTTTATACAACGACTTACCCGTGTTTTGAGAAACTGTAGCTAGAAAATATAAAAATACAAAATAGAGGTGACATCAAAGAAGTTATCATTTAAAGGCTAAAATCACCTTAGAACTCAGTCAGTGCTTTACGCATTTTTAAAAATACATATGGATACGTGAGTGCACTGGCATGGCATGAATGAAAACGTGTCACAAAAGTTTACCGGCAATATGTTTATGACGTTGTGTGTCAGTTTGTTCACCGTGTTCAATATATTCCTACTTTGTCTTAGAGGCAATTCAGAACGAGAAGAGCCGAGTGCTAGCTAGGCCACGACCTCAGTATGGCGGACCTAGATGTAAAGAAGACTGCTTAATCCTGTAATGGTATCTCCGCCTCTCACAATGCTCCCCACGCGTCGTCCCTCGACCGGTTGAATTGAGCCGAGATTTAATTACTGGACGACGAGTGGGGAGGCGTGTGAGAGGCGGAGAGACCATTACAGGATTAAGCGGTCTTCTTTTCTGCTAGGTCCGCCATATTTAGGTCGTGGCCTAGCTAGCATTCGACTCTTCTCATTCTGAATGGCCTCTAAAGCAAACTTATATTTCGTGATATTTTTCCAAATGTTTTGTCTCTCATGTCTGGATTATTTTTTCGCACTGAAATTCTGTTTAGTTTTCGTCACACCCCTTGATAGGATAGTTAAGCACACTGGTTTAAGTGGCCATTATTCATATCTGTTACAGCGTTTTGAAAACTCTCAATTCCAGTCTCCATGTGAAAAGGAAATACCATTAGGAAAAAAACAATTTTGTTGAGTTATTTATCAATGGAAGCAAAATTAGTGTTTTGATAGATACAGGATCATATGTTACAATTGTGAATACCGAACTATTACGAAAACACTCCCAGCTCCTTATTCCCTCATGGCTGTCAATTACTAACACCCCATTTCCATAGATTAGATCGACCTACTTTAGATCGACCTAACTCCCTGGGGGTTCACGCTAAATAGCTGTCCGCCGGGCGGACACGAAAGTTAAGTACCCCCTTACAGCTTGTACCCCCTACAGACATTTAAGTCGGATTATCTGAAAGTAATCTAGTGAGACTCCCCGCGGGGATAGATCGATCTAAAATCTATGGGAATAGAGCCTAACATTACATGCAGAAAAATGAAACAGTTCTAACATGAAGGACCTTGGTACATATAGGTGAAATCTATCGGCTTTATATTCAGATAAACGTGGAAAAAGTAGCAACAGCGACTCGGCACGATAACTGCAGTTCGCATTTGGTATCTACAACATACATCTAGCCAAAGATCTACAGCTTCTACTAACGGGAATAAGGCTACCGATACAGCACACCATCATCAAATACATTTTTAAAAGGCATACATACTGGACGGGCGGGATTTGATTTCGTAGACCACATTTCTCCAATCTCCCCCACAAATCTCTGAACCTTCCCCGGGGCAACTCATGTCGCACTCGGAGTCGGACGTTTTGCCGTATGTCCCATAGGAGTTGCCACAACGACAAGCGTACCTAGGTAAAAAGAGAGTGTACCTTATACTAATTATAAATTTTCAACAAATTTACTACGTCAAAGAAATTGTGAAGAGATAAATTTAAACTTTTCAAAAAAAAAAAAAAAAAAAAAAAAAGAAGGTAAATCTCAATGCCTAAACCATTTTAATTTGTCCGCCTCCTATTTAGAAACATTCCTTAAAAGATGATAAAATACTTAATAAGAAAAATCACAAAGCGTACCCCTTCTGGATTCCAAAATAGCGAAAACCTTTACAATGGTAGAGGCACTTCTGTATGTCCATTCCACTGGTGTCCTCCAGCTTGTCATCACTGGGGATATCCCTGGGGTACTGGTCCTTATAACAACCTTTGTATTCTGTATATACATATACTGAATGTAATTATCTACATGTACATATAAAAAGCGCCGTTTAGAAGAATACCGATCATCTAAAGAACTTTAAAATGCTCGACCGCATTAGCATTTTTGTATTGAAAATCACATGGCTGTTAGGCCCAAACATGTTATTCGGTCAAATCCTAGGGCACGTTCACAACAAGTGAATTGTGGATTAACAGATGCTCTCTTATATACGTGTACAGAAAATATCATATAGTGGTATAACGTTATTTAAAACGCACGTACCTGTATATGCGGTTGCCTTAATAAAGACAGCTGTAATATTTAAAAAAAAAAATGAAGATATAGACGTGAAGTGGTGATGATAATCGATACATTTGTTTAAGATATCAAATAATAAATATTCATAAGTAATATAACGTTAGATGTTTAATATAAGGCAGAAAGTCTGTGCATCAGGCTGAAAATGGCACGATTTTTTTTAAACATAATTATGTAATAAAAAGACATTTAGTAACTTGCGCTACACTAACGGTGGTTCATCATTATTGTAGTTATAAACAACAGGTTAACACATATTTATACAAAAACGGAAACATATGGCTAAAAAACGAGTACGTAAATAAGCAGAGTTGGTCACGAGCTCAATAGCCTATGAGGGGGGGGGGGGGGGGCAGGGGCGTAACCAGACCTTTAAAAATTGTACGCACAGATTTTGAAAATTCCCAGGTACGATTATATTCCTTGAAAAATACACTAAATTAATGGAGAATAATATCATGGTTGGCACAAAAAATTGTACGCACAGTGCATCCGTGCGTATGCCTGGTTACGCCCCTGGGGAGGGTTGACCCAGGGGTCTGGTTTGGAAGTGAAGAAATAGCACGTTTGCAAGCTTTGAGCGCCTCATACGGCAGCCGGGCAGTATCCTCCCCAGGGAGGCAAGAGCGACAGTTTACACTTTGCAACAGGGGCAAAAATGACCAGGCTTCCTTTGAATGATGAATTATGAATTGAATAAATATTATGCACAATTTCAACCTACTTGGTTGCAATCTCTTAATGAATTATTATATTTTACCATTGGCATATTTTGGCTTGATTTCATACACGCCGTTTCTCCAGTTGCCTCCACAGATCTGAGAACTGTTCCCGGCACAAGAGTGGTCGCACTCGGATTCCGAGGAGGCTTTGCCGTAATACCCGTAGGAGTTGCCGCAGCGACATTCTTCTCTGAAATAGTCAAGGTAAAAAAGCCAGAATGTGCATGGGCAAAATAAGATGTCGATTTCCGTTGAACCTATTATCTATATAAGGAGATATTGTGGCGTTTTTGATATATCAGGCAAAGTGAAATAGATGGTTGTCAGAAAAATAAATAGATTCAGCATAAGGCTTGATACTTTAATTTCCTTTTTATTCCTACTGTAATTCCAATTTAAGACGCATTATATGATTAAGAACGCGTATTGAACGCGTATTTATATATGTGACGTATACTTAATCGAACTCTTATTAATATTAGTTTTTTTTTCAAATTTTATTCAAAGTTCAACAAAGCAGCCAGGTAAGGCTAAATATCTTACCCATCTTGGAGTCCAAAATATCTGTAACCTCTACAATGATCTAAACACTTCTGCACGTACATCTTGCTGCTTTCCAGCTTACCGCTACTGGGAATATCGCGTGGATATTGGTCCTTGTAACAACCAATATATTCTGCGGAGAAAAAGTACTTCTACTGTTAATTGAATTTTATTCAATAAAAAAAGATTAAGTTTATTAATGGTAACATTTTCAGATGAGAAACAAAATCCATGTTAATATTTGTAAAAAATATACTTGATCTTATCAGTTATTAATTTGTAACTTTCAATAAGGCATTTAATGACAAAACAAAAATTAAGAGAGATCGTTGGTCAATATTTGTATAAAATTGATATTCTTTTTCATATTTTTGTCGCAAAGTTTGCATAGCTTTTCCTTTTAACATCTTTCTCAATTATTTATTAAGTATGTGCAATGCACAATTCAAAAGTGTACAAGTAATTTCACACACACGCACGCACGATCGCACGCACGCACACACACACACACACACACACAGGCAGGCACACCCGCGCTCCTGTTGTACCTTCTTTCAAGTCTCGTGGGGTCTCGTAGACAGCATTTCTCCAATCTCCACCGCAATTCTCCTTGCTGTCACCAGGGCAGGTCATGTCACACTCACTCTCGTCTGCTTTGCCATGGTAACCGTACGAGGTACCACATCGGCACTGATAACTGAAATCATTGGAATTAGATTGTGGTGGTGTCTGTGATTTAAAGATTTTAAATGTATAGTCGGTTTTTTATAAAGTATTTTAGATAAGACATCAAGAATGGTCGTTCTAAGTTTCAGACTGGCGCGCGCACGCACTCGCGCGCACATATATGCACATACAAAACGTGCGCCTACCCCCCCCCCCCCCCTCCACCCCCCCCCCACCCCCACACACACACACACAATCATTCATTTAAGAAGATACCTACCCAGCCTGTATTCCGAAGTACTGGAAATTTCTGCAAAAATAAAAGCATCTCTCCACTGTCATGGCATCCGAGTCCGTCAGTTTGTCTGTGCTGGGAATATCTCGGGGTCGGGAATCCTTGTAGCACCCAACATACCCTGGAGGATTTGAAATCAATAAAAAATATATCAGTCTATATCCAGAGAATTTAACATTGCAAGCGCATTAGCTTGATTGGTGGTTAGATTTTTTAAGCAATTTTTTTTGTTCATTTTGTCTTGTGACACTGATTTTGACGCATCTGTAAAGAAGTACGGAGATTACTGAGGTAGTTAAGCAGCACTTACGTTTAATTTGGTAAAAGAGAAAAATTATACCTTTAGCTGCTGCTGCTACTACTACTACTACTACTACTACTACTACTACTACTACTACTACTATTATTATTATTATTATTATTATTATTATTATTATTATTATCCTGATTTTCATTTATTTGTTTGATTTTATTTAAATTTATAAAGTTCACAGTAAATTAGATTCAGCAGGTAGTTTGATTAAAAGAGATTAAAAAAATCATTCCTTTCACAAGTATTTATTACCTCTCCCTATATGAAAAAAAAAAGAAACGTGCAAGTGATAATTCTCTCTCCACACTGAATGTAAAACCTCATTCTTCAGTCACTGTTCAGTGTCGTCTCAGTACCATGGTCATGTGACATCAGCTAGGTAACGGCCCTTACATATACAGGAATGCCAAAGAACCACAGCAGTTAACACTTTTTGCATAAATCACATACTTAACTTTGACACGCTTTAGGAGCCCAGGGATAAATTAAAAGTCGTTACACTAACCACTCATGTAAACATTTGTTAAATTACAATTCAGACACATTAACGAGCTAAATGTGTTAATTTTGTGAATTTGAGACTAGATTTAAACGCCCCTCGTCGTTTCGCATTACAGGCAAGAGTTAAGTTGGGACTGGGATACCTCCCAGAACTGTGCGATGGATGCTAGACGAGACCGTTAATTACGTAAAAAGAAACGTTTGGACAGATATTCATTGAGAGCTTCCTGGAAAGGATAAGTGCTCACCCAAAGACAAAGTTATAACTTCGGTTACTGCAAATAATTTAAGAAATTTGAGCCATCCGGGACCAGGTTTCTTCAGATAGTGCTCCAGTCAAAAAGAGATCACCATGACAAGAGGTGCAAGTCGGACGGAAATCTATCTAGTAGACGACGACGAGGAATCGGAAATCAACCCTTTGTTAGAGTTTTGCTGCGAAAAACTTACGGGAAGTTGCCTTCTGAGTTGTTGTGTGCTCGGGGCCCTAGGATGCGTCTTCGTGTTGGCGTCCATTGCCGTGCCCTACGCGGTGAATCTGTTCATCGTGTGGGTTGCCTTCTGGTTTGTTCACAAAGGCTGGACTGTGTTCCAGTTGTTCCTCTTTGCCTTCATACTCACCATTGTTGAAATGATGGCTCTGTTGTGTTTTCGAATATACAGCCACGTTGGTAAGAAGCGAGAGGCGAGAAAGAAGGGACAGCGTGACGAAGAGGCACTTGATGGCATCCCCTATACTTGAAAACGCTGGCGATTTTCCTCGACTGCGACTATCAGTCTGACTTGTTCGTGGAATGATGTAGAACATTATGCTGTTAGTTTTCGTTTTTATGTTGCCCCAAAAGCTAATTAAAACATGTGAAATAGCAACTAACAGTTTTATTTCAACCATACAAGTTAAGTGGTACTAATTAAACCACACTTGAAAACGGGTAGCGTTTCCTCGGCCAACTTTCATGTGACTATGCAGCCTATTTTAAATGGATTCTTTCAAAGCATCTCTGTGGGAATATTGCTATGCCGTTCTAAAAAGCTGTACTGCTGACAATGCACTGTGGTCTAAAATACGAGAAAATGAGACGTAACGTATTCTTCATACTTAAAAAGGGGAGAAGCTTCCTCCACAAACTTCTCGAGGTGTTTTAGGATTTAAACTGTGATTTAAATTTATTATTATCAATAATTCAACTGATTGTTTTTCAGCTACTCCAATCCCTAGATGCTTAGCTAGTCATTTTCATGAAAGAAAATGTCGATAGCCGACGTTTTAGTTTCGTTATTTTGAGACGCTTTATCAACCAAGCGGAATGAACATTTTTTACCACAAGGATTGCGGAGTTCATTTTCGCAGTGAGAAAATTAGTAGCGCTAATAACCGCAAAGTGATCCAGTGACATATCTCATGTAGGTTTTCTTATTATGTGACACCGAAGCTACTGAAACTGAGACAATGTGCGTATGAGCAATAAAATTAGTGACAATACAAAAGACATTAATGTTACCGGATACTTTTGTTTATTGGCAGCCGCAGTTAGGTGTGCCTACACAGAAAACGTCCCTTACAATAACATGTAAATGTACGCTCTCTCTCTCTCTCTCTCTCTCTCATTTTACTTCTTGGTACAACCTGTTCATAATTGTGTGTGTGTTTTTTTCCTGTTAAGTAAAACAAAATGGTGTTGTTTAAAATGTTTATAATACACGTTTGGTTATAATCATTTGGTTTACAGTAAGTGCTTCGTTGAATGACATACCTACAGATCAATGACCATTCCCATAACCCTATCGCACTAGCTGCATCGATCTCACTCCCCGGGAATTCTCGCTAAATTGCATTCAGTATAAGCGGCTAAATTGTCTGGCACGCCCCTTTGTAACTTAAAAGCTGTAAGGGGGTAATTAAATATGGCGCGCGCTCGGCTGACTGCAATTTAACGTGAACCCCCAAGGAGTTAGGTCGATCAAAATATAAATCTCTGGATCGATCTAAATCTCTGGGAATGCACCCTTAAAGTGCATGGGCCTTAGCGAGAAGTCCCGCTGACAGAGATCGATCCTGCTAGTACGATAAAGTTATGGGAATGCAGTGAGACTTTACAGCAACGGTTTAACATCTTACTTTGGGCGTCTGCTTCCAAGATGTGACCCCAGAGGACGGTCATCAACAGGGCATGTGCGCATGCGTGGAAGACGGCCATCTGGAGTGTGATAAACGCAAAGTTAGAGTTAAAAACAGTGGTGGTGGTACATGTAGGTGTATCATATCATGTATCAACCTGATAAAATAAATCCTCCACATATACGTTAAGAGCTTCCAGCTGAGGTAGAATGGCATTACTTTTAATTTTTGTTTCAGACTTCAGATAGAGGGCGATTTTAATAAGGTCACTTATTTTACCTTATTTAGGGTCTGAAAGCATAAACAAAAAAGTTTTTATAAATAAACAGTTCGATCTGTACAGTTCGGTCTGTTAGCAGGTTGAATAAAATTGCCAAGTTTCACACTATCTTCCCTTATTCGGTTCTCCTAAGCAGACGGTTTTTCTTATGTTCGAAATTTCTGCGACTTCTGTGCATTTTCCTGTAAAATATCTACATTTGCCAAGTTTTAAACCCGTACCAAACACAAAGTTCCAAACTGTTGTTAATTCTGACTGGACAGATTGCTTCAGATTCGCCTTCTTTGTGTTCTCGATTTACGTAATACTATTCAATTAGGGGATGGAGAATGGAAAATGATCTTAGCTACAGGTGGATGAAACTGTGAATGTATGTAATTTTTACATGGGAGGTGATCAGCCCTTTATTATTTATCCCCTGCTCTTGCGGGAGAAGTTTTTTTTTAATTCCATATTCACAATATCTATGTGTACGTTTTAAACCACTGCCTGTATTCAGAAAACAAAATGAAATAAAGAATTTGGAAAAAATCAATCAAGAAAAAACAAGAAATTCTTTCTAGACATACGAATCAGAGGCATCGGTTCTGATTTGAGCAGAAACTGATAATGCCTTGCCTCTTCAGTCAAGTTCGTTAAAAGTAAAAGAATAAGTGCATACAACATTTACGAACCATTCAATCACTCTGCATACCGCAAGGGTCAACGTACATACAGTATCCAAAGACAAATGTATCATCATATGGTCGGCATTTTCTTTGTTCTGTTGCTCAAACAAATTGACCAAATGAGTATTCCGCGTCTAAATTAATCAATTAAGTGCCAGTTTTTTTAAGCACCAGACAAGTGCGGCAAGGTGGGGGTTCACAGAATTTGACCTTATTGGGCTGAAATACTTGCCTGAGGACCCTTTTAACTTCTGCCAAATGTTATGCCATAAAACTGTATTTCAAGGGATTTATGCCCAATTTTCTGTTTTTCCAGCTTTCGAAGCAGATTTTCAGTTATCATACACGTCACTCATATATATGCTTATTATACTCTTATCTAGCAATATATTTACTATGTACATGTATGATGTATTTTGTTGATCAATATTCTTCCCCCCAAGACTTTCAAACTAAAAATATAACCCACCTTGTCCACACTGTACCCACTTTTTTCACCCCACCCCCCAAAACTAAGTTTAAGCATGGCAATTTTCAGAGGGTCATATACCCACTAGTAGAGGTCCGATGGCTGTCAAACCTGTATGGGTTTGTAAAGGAACATTAAAAATATAAAGTACAAAGGAGATCCTCGTGGCCTTTTCTTTTGTTGGCGATATATTTTAATATTAAAATATCCGAAAATTGTAAAATTTGAATGGGTGTTGCTCTTGTCTTGGCCAGTAATACCTGCTCAATTACTCTAATCAAGGCAGATATGAACAATAGACTTTACAAGAATAGGCAATAGCCCTATG